AGAGTATGCATTTATTTGTCATTTTAACTGTTTGGAAACGGAGCGTAAATGTGGAAGTCCTTCAAAGATTTCTTAACCTGTTGCACCCTCTATAGGACCGGCGACTAGTCGACGTCAAGCTTAAAGCGTCATGGCAGAGCATTGAAGTCGACTAGTCAATTAGTCGGTGCAACCCCTAGTGCACACCGACGCTCAAAACGGCATTTTTTTGGTTTGATGCGCCGCGTTGAAAACTGTACGACCAATGAGATTGGCGCTTTTGTTCACGTGCCTGGAGCTGCTGAAGTTACAGTAAAACACCACTTGGTGGCGCTCAAGCACAAAACGGTCTTGCCGAGCACACATTGATACCTAACGACGAAGAGGAAGTAAGTAGACGAAGAAGATGCATCGAGGCAAGATGAATGTAGAGCTGCTGGTCTCATTGGTGTCTGAACACAAAGGGCTTTATGACAAACGCGACAGCGACTACAAAAATCTCGATAAGAGGGAGTTGTTATGGAGAGGAATTGCAGATCAAATAGGATTCGATGTGTACCGGGGTATTTCTGTTTTTCATTAAGCGCCATCTAATGTCAGGGAGCGAATTTGCACATTCACTCGGCTCATCGCCTGCGAAAATCGCTTGGGTATGAACACAAAAGACGCGTCGAAAAACGTCGGCGATAAGCCAAGATGAATGTAGAGCTGCTGGTCTCATTGGTGTCTGAACACAAAGAGCTTTATGACAAACGCGACAGCGACTACAAAAATCTCGATAAGAGGGAGTTGTTATGGAGAGGAATTGCAGATCAAATAGGATTCGATGTGTACCGGGGTATTTCTGTTTTTCATTAAGTGCCATCTAAGGTCAGTGAGTGAATTTGCACGTTCACTCGGCTCATCGCCAGCGAAAATCGCTTGGGTATGAACACACAAGATGCATCGAAAAACGTTAAACGTGCGCGATAATCGTCCCGTTGTGCACGAGGCTTAAGTGTGTGTAAAATCACTGAATACCACAGCATATCCCAGGGTTCCACAAAATAGACCTCTTACACACACAAGTTTGAGAACTACCTCCATTTCTAAATATTTGATCCTCTTCCTGCACACAAAAGCCGCTCACACACATTCGCACATTTAAATGACAGCAGATGACATTCTCACCCCTCAGGAAGTAGCAGCCGGTGACTCATAAATTCAAAAGAATCAGGGAATGCAAATTCTGAACATTCCAATAGAACACAGCAGGAGAAACAGGACGCTGCATATTTCACAATTTAAGACATCATGCTGCTTTATTGTTGGACAACTTGTTTTCTGTTTTTGTGTCCTCATTTCCTTCAGAGAAAAAACACAGGAATTCCATGCACAACTATTATTTTATTTTATTTTATTTTATGTGGGGAACATTCACAATCTAACAACGTGCAACTTTTGTTTGTGCAAACTCTACTTGTTTTCTCATTTTCAAAAATCTTGGTATGCCTTTTTTGGGCAACATTTCCCAGAAAACCCACACGGATTTGAAATCATTTTAGACAAAACCATGCTTTTTGTGGTTCACATGTGCTCTCAGTGTTTCACATGAGATAATTTCAGACCTCAAATGCAATAATTTCCATTAAACAAAACCCCATAAATTAAATACATCTTAATGTGAAATTCATGTATTTTTTAAAGGATCTGTTTTTCACATTGAACAGAATTCAAGGAAAAACATCTGCATTTTGTAACAGATCATTAAACATTCAGTTGAAGCTATTGAGACGGTTCTTAGGAATTCTGTTTCTCTCTCTCCCGCATGCACCTCCATGAATACTTTCACATTTATGCTTTACAATAGTACTATCACACTCCACATCGGGTTTATTGTGCACAAATCAATATGCATTGAGCCACATAATGGCAGGACAGTAACGTGAATGAGTTATTGTAGCTGTCCTGGTTCTATAGCCCTGTATTTGACCTTCAGTACCACAGCAGCATGAACACAAATAGAAACGCATGTGCTTCGGTGCTCATTCATTAGACTCCAGCTGTCACTGACTGTGACTGAATGAGGTTTGGTGTCACACAGTGTCATTACACTCTGTAATCATATGATTTGACTATTGTAAAAGCCAACAACGTTTCTCTGCCTGCACTATAGAAATGTGTTAGTTAATCTTTGTGTAGCCTTTGTGGTTCACAAAAAAATTCTTAGAGTTTCACCATGGTAACTATAATTTCCTTCAAAATGCCACAGAGTTATTGTTAGTAATGAAAAATCAATAAATTAATATGGAATTTATTTGAAAAAAAAAAAAGTATGAAGCTTTAAGAATATTTATTTATTTATTTAAATTACATTGGTGGCTAATACCAAGTCGGTTTTTTTTTTTTGTAAATTTGTTTGTTCACTACATTCATTTTTGTAATACCTGCATGGCATTTTAGCTGAAGCTATGGCCATCATGATAAATCTTTTATTGATCCTGGTAAATCCAATATTGATGTGTGCAAGTTTGATCATATGCTATGCCTGCATCAATATGAAAATCCTATAAATCTCTCCTAAGACCGGAAGCATTTTTAATCAAGATCAGGCGCTGTTCAACTTTGCTTACTATTGACCAAGGCTTTCTGTTGAATTGCAGAAAGAAAAATGTGCTGTGTTCAAATAAGAGGCTATGTAAATCACAGTATCTGGTGTTTAGGATGAGTGCATGAGTTACCTATTAGTCAAAATTAAAAGAAGGATTTTTTTTTAAATGTATTTACAGGATTGTTTACATATCTAATAAGGCATTTAAACAAAATACTTAAATAGTAAACAATTTGTATGTTATATTACCATAAATACAGCAGTGAAAGTATGTACGACTGACATCCCTACTAGTAAAAAATTAACTCATAAAAGCTCAAGACGGTGAAGTTGGTCAGCCAAGTCTCCCCCGACTGGCTAACCAACACTAACCAGCTTAATCCTGACCCCATAACCTTCAAGTCCAGTTTATCCACTACCAAACTAGCTTAGACCAGCAAATGACTATAAAAAACTAGCTTCAAGCAGCTAGAAACCACATAAGATTAGCCACCAGTTATTTTAGCTGAATTTTCCAGTTGAAAGTGTGCTTTGTTTTATTAGCTTCATGTTTAACATAATTAAGTGTGTCAAAAAATTCCATTATTATATAGCCTATGTAAATCTTTTATTTATGTATTCATTTATTTATTTCACTAATACTATTGCTCATACTTAAGGCTAGTGATCTGAATTATTTCAAGCAGTGCATGAAGTGTTAATTAATTAATTGATTTAATTTAATTAACATGTATTTAAAAATAGAAATAAATATGAATTCATTAACCTGAAAAAATTTAAATGTGTATTATTTATTTATTTATATTGCTCATATAGAGTTAGTGATTTGAAGAAACTCCTGACTAGTACTTTCAAACGTGCATGAAGTGTTTATGAATGAATTGAATTTAAAATAACATTTATGTATTTTTAAAAAATAACAAAAATATTTATTAATTCATTCATCTAAAACTATAGTATTACTGTTTTGTTTTTTTTAAATTAAATTTTAATTTATTTTATTATTTATATCACTATTACTGTTACTGTGCGTTCACACCGCCGCCGTCGAGAGCGTCAAAGTGGCCGGAAGTCATTCATTTTCAATGTGAGCCAGCAGCGAGCAGCGAGCAGCGGCGCGGCGCGACTTGGACGTTGAGGGCGTCGAGGAGAGTTGGAATCAGGTCAACTTTATGGTAATGAGCTATGACGCGGTTCGGCGGCATCTGGCGGCAACCAATCGGAATGTAGAAGTCCAACGCTTTAGAGGATTCCAGAGAACCCAGTCCTGTAAACTTTGGTTCCGACCACATTAGTTCCCAAGCAAAATGGAGGAGAGGTTGATTATTGCTGTGGCGGGTTTCCCAATAATCTATGACGTGTCCCTGTTTGCATACAGGGACATAAATAAATAAAAAATGATGCGTGGACCAAGGTGTCTGAGATTGTTGGTGTTCCTGGTGAGTTGCTGATGTGCATTAACGTTATAG